AGAGAGAGAGAAAGGGGGCCCGTGCTGGCTCTCGATGCTCCTGGAGACAATATATAAAATGAAGATAGTGTTGTTGCTAATAATAGGGCAATATACCAAATATACGTATATCAGTCTGTGACAATAAAAAAAATCAAGATAGTTAGTACTGTAGTTAACAATAGGACAAAAGACCAAATAAACGTATATCAGGCTCTACACGTGTTTAGATTTATAAAAACCACAGACACTGGAAGGAAACTTTTTGATTCACAAAACAAAATAGTTTTCTATCTCAGAAAGAGTTTTTAAATAAAGTTTAGCCGTAAATAAAAAAATCTAGACTTTTATTTTAAGTTTTTCAAACTCAATACCTGTATATTTTTTCCTGCTTCACAGACAGATATCTAATATGTTTTTTAAGTCACAAGCTGTTTTCTAAGATTTTCATTTAGTGTTACAAGAAGCTGTATGATGTATATGGTGTTTCGAAATTCGACAGATAAAGATCGGCGCTGGTGCTACCACCTAGCAGCATATAAAGCCGGCTGAGTGTGGTTTGTAAACCAGTCGCTGATACAAGTGAGCATAAGAACTGAGTCTTTCCCGTATTCAAGCAACCACCATGACTATTGACTTGTACCACATGCCACCTAGTGGTCCTTGCCGAGCCGTTCGAATGGTGGCTAAAATTATCGGTGTAGATCTAAACCTTAAAAATGTTGACTTAATGGCTGGAGAGCAAAACAAGCCTGAATTTTTGAATGTAAGTCTCCCGTAACATGTAAGTTTTGATTGAAATGTGGTCTTGTCGGAATGTAGTTATTCTTCTCTATAGTATAGGTCAGAAATTTGTATCTAACCTATTAAATATTGTAGAGTTAGCGAAGGTACTTCTAAGTATCATCATCGTATCTAAACGCCTAATTTTGCTACAAACAAAATTTTTGTAAACTATGAGTTAAGTTACATATCTATTAAAATGATTGTGTGTGTGTCTATATACAAATTTAATATCTGCATCTAATCTATAGTTTGTGCTTTTAATTTCAAAATATTCTGTAGTTCTGCCTATTGATTATATATATATATACGGATTGATGGACTGTTTATAAACATAAGTATGATATAAATATGAATAAAACAATCGATGATGAATGAGTTAATTAATAAGTATTCAACGAAATTTCAATTCAGTGCCAGTCAATTAGTTCAGTGACAGAAAATGTATTCGGTGTTAAAAGTGGGAATTAACACATCTATACTGCTATTTAGTTGTTTGGTGAATTTCCCTTTTTGTTATCGTTACGCGAACTAGACCTAACATTATTTTTACTAAATGATTCAAAAGAACCCGCCCAACGATAGAACACGTTACAGCACTATCTATATACAGTATGTAAGACTAAACTTTCAAGTATTCCAGATACTACTAAAACATTATAATTTAATAGAGTAAGCTATATGTTGTAAAGAATAGGTGGATATCTTACAAATAGATATTCGCTGAGTCACAACAAAGCCACCTAATGTGGGTTCAGATTCTGAGAAGAAGGAACAGATAAACATCACTACAGCCCTCATTTACAATGGATGCCTGACATAATTGATCCAGAAGAAAAAAACTAAACCCTAAAAAATAGGCAGGAAGAAAATTACAGGTATATGCACATTCTCACGTATAAAAAGTGTCCCTGAAAACATACAAAGGATATGTAAACAGTATAAAGTCAGAACAGTATTCGGAAACCACAATACAGTACGATCGCGGTTAGTACTTAATACATATCAAGCTATCTAAATACCCTTATGGAGAGTAAAACATCATTTACATCATCCCACTGAAGAAACAAAAAGACTAAAAAGTTGGAATTCAGGAACATAATAAACGTACAAGACTCTGTAATACTGATATATCTGCAATAGCCAATCATGCCAGAGAAGACCACACAAAGAATTGGAATATTACTAAGAATGGGAAATGAGCCACACAGAAGAAAAAGGGAGATAAAAGAAGCCTTCCGCACACAGCCAACATAGTAAAGAAGTTAGTAAAACGTGAATATCCATCTAGAAAATATTTTAATAAATTGGTTGATGAAAATCATAATTTGCAAAAGATTAAACGAGTGGATAGCACACCATGTCAAGGAGAACTTGGATCGCATCTCTTCACAAGAGTTTCATTAAGACAATATCAGATAAGCAGTTGAAATGGTGAATATAAACTAGTTTGTAGCTAGTATCTAATAATTGGGATATATATACATATATCAGTAACAAATTAATAACTGGACTTAAGTGATCGTGTAAGCTACAAACTGGTACAACTTATATGCTGTAATATATGTTAAATTCTGTTAGTTTGAATCTGTTATAATTCTACTGCTCGTTTGAATGAATTTCTACTTGTACACACTCATCTATCAAGTAAAAATGTGTTTATTTATTTCAATATGTTGTATTGATGATCTGTGATGTAATTTTGCAAAATCACTCGGCAAAGGTCGAAATTTTCGGTACAGAGATGCTATTCACTGCCTCGTAAACATGCCAAATCTTCTGATGAAGTGTAATAGCAAAACCTTTGTTAATAAGTATTCTGAATACTGTGGTTGTTGATTATTTAAATCAATAATAAATGCTCTAAACAAGAGGAAGTATTATGACTTTAAAGAGAACAGACACAATATTGGATACGTTGTCTAATGATTTCAGACATGCGTAGAAAAGCTAATATTGGATAATGATGATATATAAGAATAGATTTTCGGCTAGAGTAACATACCAGGCGCCTAGCAAAATGTGCGCTTTGATACTGTTGATTTAGCGCCAAGCTACACAATGGACTATCCGCGCTCCGTCTATGCACTGCAGGGAATCGAACCCGGGATTTTAGCGTTGTAAACTTACACCTGACCCACAGGGGCACTTTGATACTGCGTTTGTTACGTACAAATTGTGATTCACTATTTAATATTACCTAATCCGGGATGGTTTCCAAAAGTCGGTATCATCTGGGTCTCTTTACCTTAATTACCTAATCCGGGATGGTTTCCAAAAGTCGGTATCATCTGGGTCTCTTTACCTTAATTACCTAATCCGGGATGGTTTCCAAAAGTCGGTATCATCTGGGTCTCTTTACCTTAATTACCTAATCCGGGATGGTTTCCAAAAGTCGGTATCATCTGGGTCTCTTTACCTTAATTACCTAATCC